ACTATAGAAGGGAGAAGAAGAGGAGGATGGATGAGTCGAACAAAATGGCAAGGGAGTTGGAAGTGATAAAGGCGTAGAGGGAGGAGATTCAGGCGCAAGCAGATATACAGGGGAAATTAGATGTTATTTCGAGAAATATAGAACTCCTTGCCAGAGCCTGGGACGAGCAACACCAGTTTTCTAGAGCCCAGGACATCGCTCTACACTCCATTCGTTTGGGATTTAGGGGTTTCACACGCGGGATGATGCTGCACGTAGGTGCAAAAGTTCAGGCGAGGATAGAGGGTATAAAGAAATTATGTACAGGCACCATTGAAGGTGCAAAGTTGGCCGCTCCTAAGGAGGAAGAGCCACGCCCTCGAAGAGAGCCCGTGAAGATCAAATTTCCTGAACCCTGAAGTGGGAAGAAGGAGGAAAATTTCGATAATTGGGAGGCAAGTATTAACACGTATGTCTATTTGCAGCATATCGTGCCTGAGGAACTCGTCCTCATTGCCTTCCAGGCGCTCAAAGACGAAGCGGCTAGCTTCGCCAGATCCCTCGCTCGCGTTGCACAGTGTGAAATGGTAGCCTACTCTAAAATTACTTATCTCCCTGAATTCCTTAAATTATTAAAGGAACGATTTGCAGATGCCACACGAGGCATCAGAACCTCTGACAAGCTGCAAACTATCCACTCACGCCAGTGGAGGAGTGCAAGGGCACTCAAGGGCGTAATGGACGATCTGGTAGCCGTCCCGGACCACGGGGTCACTGAGCCCCAGTTGGTTAACCGGGGTTACCGTGCCATGCCAGAGCCCTCGCGAGTTCACTTCTTTGAGAAAAGCAGACAACCCACCATGACGTACGACGCGTTGAGTAGACAAGTGGTGCTGTTCGAGGCACAGTCCATGCCCGTTTCCACTTTCTGGCACAAGGACTTGGATAAAGGGAAAAAGTGGAAGGGCCGTACCATCTCTGGCTAGGTTAGGGCCAAGGATCATTTGATCCTTACTTTAGACGAAGGTGGTATGGACGAGGTCCCCTACAGTCAAATTGAGTGGGGCCTAGAGGAGGAGGACAACAGTGGGGGTCAGGGGAGGACCTACACTACTGTCGCGGTTGGAGGGAGGCCGCAAGGTAGAGGAGGAAACCAGGGCCAAGGGGGCCGGGCCTCAGGTGGTCGAGGACAAGGCGCTCAGAGGGTTGGCGGCAGAGGAAACCGCCAAGAGGGAGGTAGGGGTCAAGGTCCCCTACCAAATCGCTCACGATCTTATCGGTCACCTCCAAGGAGGGGTGGATGGCACCCTGGCTTGCCACAGGGCAGGCCATGGGAAGACCTGGGCTTGGACTAGTCCGTATGGCAGCGTAGTGTGGACTAGGATCAGTGCATTTACTGCGGTGATCCTGGCCACATAATTAAATATTGTCCAAAGTATGGAGAAGCCCGGTATGCTGCACAAGCAGCAAAAGGCAGCCGCCGGTAGGGGTCACAATTGCCCTTACCCCTAGGCCATGTGGAGAAGAGTGCGCGCACCACAGAGGAACTCCCAAACCACATGAGCGTACGACAGAGGTTGCTGGCCAGTACCTGGACAATTGTTCAGAGGCTGCTTGTGCAAGGGTCTCTCTAGGTACTTCCCTCACAGGCGTGGTTGAAGGGTTGAAGGAGAGGATGCTTGCCTGGGCCAAGATGAAGAAGGATGCGAAAGAACAGCTAGTTTTAGTAGATGTAGAGGTCTTTAAAGGTAGAGTAGGGGCCCTTATAGACAGTGGGGCCACCCGCAGCTATATCAGTGGAAGAGCGCTGCAGAAGTTGAAACTAAATCTGAAAGTCCAAAAGTTAGCAGACCCTATAGTCAGCATCCTTGCAGACAATCGCACTACGCGAATTGAGGATTACGTTGAGGGAGTCTAGGCGTACTTTCGCCTAGAGAAAGATGGGAAGGTGGAGGAAGTTCTCCATTCCCTGACTCTCCTCATGGAAGACAACCTTCCTTTCGATATAGTCCTAGGAATGGACTGGGGAGAGGCAGCAGGGGGCACACTCCATTTTAGAGAGCACGAGTGTAGGCTCTCTAGTCCCACAGGCGAAGTTAAGACTGCTCGCCTGTTCCATGTGTCAGGAGTAGATAACACTCTGGCACATTGCTGCCTTAGTGCTCCCGCGTTCGCGCGTTTAGTGAAGAAGGAGCAATTAGAAGAAGAACAGGCATTTGTAGCCTACGTGAGGCCAATTACTGACCCTAAAGAGGAGACACCCATAGAAGTAGTTAAGCCGCCTATAGGAGTAGTGTCACGGTCAATCCAGCATCACATAGAGATAGAGCCTGGCAGTAGGTCTCCTAAGGGAGCGATTTATGGAATGTCCCCAAGGGAGTTAGAGGAGCTGCGTAAGCAGTTAGACGAGCTCCTTGAGAAGGGTTGGATTAGAGCACCTGTTCTTTTTGTCCCCAAGAAGGAGGGAGAGGTCATAATGTTTATTGACTCCAGGGGTCTTAATGCAATCACAGTGAAGAATGCAGAACCGCTGCCTCGTATAGATGATCTGTTGGATCGGGTGCAGGGCTGCAAATATTTCTCAAAGATAGATTTGAAGTCCGACTATCATCAGATAGAGGTTCATTCTGATGATCACTGTAAGACAACATTCCGGACTAGATATGGGCACTTCGAGTTTATAGTTATGCCCTTTGGACTAACCAATGCGCCAGCAAGTTTTCAGCGCTATATGAATGATTTGTTTAGGTCATGGTTAGATATATTTGTTGTGGTATATTTAGATGATATTCTAGTGTTTAGCAAGCCCCTCCACGAGCATGACGGCCATTTGAGGTAGGTCTTGGAGAAGCTTAGAGAAGCTAACTTCAAGATCAACGCAAAGAAGTGCGAATGGGCCAAGACACTGGTTTTATACCTGGGCCACGTCTTAGACGGCGTCAGACCTGAAGACAACAAAATCGCAGCGATTAGAGATTGGCCAACGCCCCGCACACTAACAGAGTTGCGGTCGTTCTTAGGCCTAGCCAATTGTTATAGGAAGTTTGCCAGGAACTTCTCCACCATCACTGCATCCTTTCGCAGGTTGCTAAAGAAAGAAGCAATCTGGAAGTGGGACAAGGATTGCACATCTGCCCTGAAGAGATTGAAGCGGGCTTTGATAGAGTAGCCTGTCCTTAAGGTAGCCGACCCGTCTCTGCCTTTCGTTGTTACCACTAACGCAAGTCAGTATGGCATAGGTGTTGTTTTACAACAAGATGATGGCCCGTAGAGTTCATGTCTGCTAGGATGCAGTCAGAGAAGGTAGCAACATCGACCTATGCGAGGGAACTCTACGCTCTCAGGCGAACACTACTTGCTTGGGAGACACTTTAAAGTTTATTCAGACCACGAGACACTTAGGTGCTTGAATACGAAGGCCAAGATGACACCTAAGCTTACTAGGTGGGCCGCTGAATTAGATCAGTATGACTTTGAACTTAAGCCAGTCAAAGGGAAGTAAAATGCAGTAGCGGACGCTCCCCGTCGTCGTACACTGGCGTGCTCTCTCGATGGTAGGGCCTATGCTGCTCGTATCCTCCTGATGCTCCCAACGGCCTCCGTGGCGGCCGTGTCCCCCTCCCTCCTCTTGGCATGGCTGTCTTCGCAAAGTCAGACCTGCACAACAGGCGAAGAAGACAACAGGCACACGCTGGGGTCAGCAAACAGGCGATAGATGGGCAAACTATGGCCAAACCAAGCACATGCATCAGGCAGTCCTCCTAACCCACAGCCCAGCTATCCTACTCTAGGGAAATCGGATCGTCTATCTCACCTCTTCTCTCGCCACGAACTTCTTCAGTCTTGTCCCTGACAGCCAGTCCTTCCACTCTGTCCCATTCAATTCCTCAATCTGATAAGCGCCGAACTCTCCACACTGCACGATCCGGTAGGGACCTAACCACCTTTTTGTCAAGCTTTCGGGACCACTGCTTCTCCAAGGATGAATCGTATAGGAGTACGATATCCCCAACTGCTAAGGGTACCTTCCTCACCCGAGCAGATTGATCCTAGCGAGCTTTATCATCCAGACGACTCCTTTCCACTTGGCTGGATGCCTCCTGGACCCTTTCCTCAATCGCACCCACTTGCCGTGCCCGAATATCGAGCAATTTTTCGAAAGACAGATTGACCTCCAAATCCTAGCGCCTCCAAGTTTTCAGGAAGCTCTCGATTGGGAAGGTAGCGTGTCTTCCATACCATAGCGTGGCCGGTGCGTACTTAGTGGTCCTTTTCACCGTAATATTCTCGACGAAGAAAGTTGCCCTCAGATATCTCGGCCATTGACTGGGCTTGCCTTCAGTCCATTTGGCCAGTAGAGCCGTAATGGTAATGTGTCCTCTTTCCACTGGAGCATTCGCTTGGGGGTGCGCGGCCGTGGTGTAGTTAGCTACCACACCATACACTACCACACCATACCGTGACAACAATTCTTGCACCTCCTGGCAGGAGAATTCCGATCCCCTATCCATCATGAACTCCCTGACGAAAGGATAGCGCAGATAATACTCCTCGATGCATCTAACCAGGACTCACCCAGTCTTCGCGCGGATGGCCCGACCATCTACGAAGCCAGATAGGTTGTCGCGTGCATCGAAGATGTAATTGTAGCCATGATCTCCGAGGGGCATGAATAACAAGTCGAGGTGTACTACGACCCCTACTTCCCTTTCCAGCCTTGGATGCAGCGGCTCTCCAGGCCTCAGACGAGATTGCTCTTGACAAGGTACGCAGGATCGGCAAAACTTACCAACCATCTCCATCATCCCGTCCCAATAATACAACTCACTTATTTTGGCATATGTGGCAGTAATCCCCCGATGTTCTTCTGCAATGCCATCATGAAGCGCAACTATGACGTCAATCTGGCGGTCCCTGTCGCATACGACTCTCCTTGGATTCCCTACTTGCCTTTTCACAAAAAGATAACTGTCTCGCACCAAGTAGCGATCCCTCATCATTTGAGCCCTATCGCTTGCATCCCTGTCTCGCATCTCGCATGATAGGAGAAGTCCCTACTCCAGATAGATCCCATCATACTCCTTTGCACGGAATGCCTCTTTGATCTCTCCTTCTTCAAACTCGTCATCCTGGCTTTCCAGTACAGTATCTCTTCCCTCTGCCGGGTTTAGCGAGCCTTCCAAGTCAAAGGATTCCTGACGGAGCGTATTAACGAGGAGGTACATCCCTCCCATCAGTTCCTCATGCCTCCTCACCCGGTCCGGACCTTCCTCTATCGTTGTTACTTCATCTACCAGACAATGGTTACCTGCGAGCGCCAACTTCATCATCCATTGGACATCCTTACTACCCAGGGGTCTTCTTCTTCAAAAGGTTTGAGCACCAACTCAGCCTTTCGCTCATACCCCTTTGGCGCATGCCAAATGGGGTGACCAACACAGCTAGGCACTCGCGGGGACCACTTATTGATGTGGAGGCGGATGTCTTCTTCCTGGTCCAAAAAGCCATCAACTGGGGGCGTATCTTCTATAGCCTCCCCTTCCTGCTTGTCCCAGTTGATGTGGCTTAGTCCATCTGCTCTGTTCTTACTCCCTGGAATTCGCTCCAACTCAAAGTTAAACATCCATATGTATGTCAACCATCTGGCAACTGTAGGATCGGATGGAACATAGTTCCTCAGGGAGAACGCTGGAGCTGTTGGATCCACCCTTAGTATGAACCTTCTGCCAAAGATGTAATTTCGAAAAATCCGCAGGCAGTGAAGGACAACGACTGTTTCCCTTTTGAATTGGGAGTAGTTCCTCTCTGTCGTACATGGAGTCCGACTCTCAAAACGCAGTGGCCTCTCCTTTCCTTCAATGTCTGCTCGGATTAGAACTCCACCCAACGCAATTGGTCCTGCATCTGTCTGAACAATAAACTGCCTTGTCTCGGTGGCATCATAATCTGACGCCCCCAACACCAATCCTCCTCGAAACTCCTCCTTCATTCCTGCCACAGCCTTCTTTTGGTCCTCACCCCAAATCCACTCCTGATCCTGACGAACCAGCTTCCTCAATTGCTCCGTCTTGGCAGCAAAGTTCTTGACGAAGGTCTGCCAGAAGCGACATGTGCCAAGGAAACTTCTAACATCTGTTATTGATTGAAAGGGCACCGGCCATTCGACTATCTTATCCGTTTTCTTAACGTCTGGCCGCCGACCACTCTCATTGCAGACAAATCCCAGGATGGTGGCTTCCCTCATGCAATGCTTTGACTTGGCCCCACTAGCCGTAAGGTTATACTCCTCAAGCAAGCCCATGACTTTGTCAAGGTCCTGAACATGCTTCCAGACAAAGCGCCTTACTCCTAGCAGGACTTCATCGTCTTCCCTTCTTCTTGGTCCTTTCACCGCCAAGTCATCAATATATGGTTGCGTAATATGTGGGCTAACTGTCTGCATGACCCGAATCATGTGCCTCTGGACCATCGCCACAGCATTCGTCCACCCTTGTGGAGCCACATTCATATGGATGAGTCCTCGAGGCGTATGCATGGCTGTCACTGGTCGGTCTGGCGGGTAGACCGGAAACTGGTAATATCCGGAGTAAAGGTCAATAAGTGAGATTATCGGCCTTCCAGCACACGACTCTGACAGCGCATCTGCATTCGGCAGCCCTCCTTCGTCTTGCACGGTCACCGCATTCAGCCTTTGCAAGTCCTGCACCCACCTCAGCGTCCCATTAGGTTTGATGAAACAGAACCATGGGGATGCGTAGGGTCCGCTTGAGTAGTCGGCGACGTGCGTGCATATCTTACCATCGAGGTAATCCACCACCTTCTTTTCTTCGTCAGGATTAGGATATCGCGCCCCTCTTAAATTCCACGGCTCGTGCGGCACGGTATGGATGCGGATCATCGGAATCTTGTCCACATCTAACCTGCCGCGCTCCTCATCACTGAAAGCATAGGCGCGATGCCTTTTCTTCATTAGTTCCACCATCAATGCCCTTTCCCGAGGCAGTAGGAAGTCAGGTTCTTCTACTATCAGCTTCCCCTCATTCCCCTCGTTGATACGGCGTGGCCCTTCCGAAGCACTCCCTTTCATTTGCCGTATCAAAGCTCGCTCCCGTTCATAGTACACCTCCTCATCTTCGGTAACAAGAACGGGAACTGGGCGGCGCTTTTTGTCTATCGTCTTGTACCGCCTTTGGGAACCCTGCTTGAGCCGTCCCCTAAAAAAGGTTGGCTCGCCGCTCGCGCCTGCGCCTGTGCCACAGCAGGGTCCATCCTCCCCTTAGGAAGCCGATAAACCAACTCCATCTCTCCCACCTGGGGATATTCCAGGACTTGTTCTCTCAGCGTCTGAATGGCGTCTGGATCCGCCATTTCGTGCATAGCCACTATGTCCATGACCTTGTTTACGTCAGACAGGCTAAGCGAGAACGCCTCTCCTCCTAGTTCCTCCTCGGGCTCTGCTATAAGCCTTTGATGCTCCTCTTCTGACTCCTCAATCGTAAAAGAGCCAGGATTGGGCCTGTTCCTAAGGCTTCTTGGTCAGTGTTCCGGCAGTCTCGTAATTCCCGCACACTGGATCACATAAGATCAGGATTAGCGACCCATCATGCTTGTTATACATTAGGATCTCCGTCCTGCACAAGAAGGACCTCCCCAGGAGAATGCTATGGTCTACGTCCGACATCACGAAGAAGGAGGCCCTCGCCTTTACTCTGCCAATCTCTAGCAGTACATTCGAGGCGGTCCCACAAAACATGGCCTTGTTGTTGGCCCCATGCAGAATGCTGCAATCCGAGTGGTCTATTTCTAATCCGAACCTGATGGCGTTAGCCTCTCGGATAATATTCATTTCGGCACCTGTATCTACCATGGTTGTGCACTTGGAACCTTTTACCACCAGGTCCACCATCCCGCAAGCTACACACTTCCAGTCCATCTTTGTTCCCGGTTCTGCCCACTCCATCTCCTTAGGCAGAATCACGCTGAGGTGGACGTTCGGCACCAAACGCCTTGACAACCTACCTTTTAGCTCATTACGGAGCCTTGGGGCGGACGCCAGGATCTCCTTGAGGGTCATAAGGTCATTATGGCCTTCAAGTATCCTGTTGATCACCCTTTCCATGTCGAACCCTTCCTCTAATCGGACTGCATACTTCTTTTTCTTGGGCGGTACGTCGCGCAGGACCGGTTCAGCTTCCTCTCAGCTTTCCCTCTTCCGGGCCCTTTGCTCCGCCCTCTGATCTTCTTCTTGACGCAGTCTATCATCCTCCTCTTCGTCCTCGTCATCATCCTCCACCTCCACTGTTTCCTTCCTCTTCCCTGGCTCAGGCTCCTTTCGGGGAGGCTCCTGACTTGCACTAGCCTTTGCCTGACCTCGAGTACGGGCTGCCTGTGCCAGCCTTCCTTGTGGAGTAGGACGCTTGGTCATCATTCCAGATCGAGGGCCTGACCCCACGGTGGCCACTCCGGGTCGTCCTGGCATGGATTCCGGGCCGGAATCATAGAGGAAGACCTTAGGGAGGTTAGCCCTCCACTCCTTTACTTCTTCGCAGAGACCTACCAACTTTCGTTGGTACCTCCCCACTTTGTCCAGCTCTTCCTTTATATCTCCTGCGCGTAGTCTCTGAGTCACTTCCTCATCACTTCCCACCTCCTCGCTTGCAATTGGTGGGTCCTCTCTTTCCTGCGACAGCCTGAATGTGGCAAGAGGTGGTTGTCGCGCTGCCAATCTTCGCTGGGCCTCCGCTCTTACCCCGCTAGCCTTCCTATCAATATACTCCCCGAACTGATCATATATATCTCCATCCGTGTTAGTAGATCAACCCATTTCTCTCATCTTCCCGTCTTGTATTGCAGAATCGTATAGTGTGACCTTGCTTGTCACAATGCTGACATATAGCGGTCCTCCAATCAAAGCGGGTTCTTCCGCCACCCTGGTTCCCTTGGTTACCTTGACTTCCCAGGCCCTGGTAGCCTTGGTTACCCCATTGACGTCCTCGGCCACCACCGTTCCTGCCGCGTCCTCTCCCACCGCCTCTCCCTCCATTCCCCTGATTCCCTTGGTTTTGATTACCACCAGCCGCCGCACTACCCTGTGAACTCCGTGTAGGCGCGGGAGGTGGTACCGCAGGTTGAATCTGGGCGGCGGGGTAGCTTGGAGGCAGCATACTTGTTTGGGGCCCAACGTAGGGTATTACCGGTTCAGAAGGCGCCGGTCCTCCCCAAGGCACATATGTGTTGATTACGGGCCATGGCCACTGCCCGAATGGCGGTACCGGTGCCTGCGAAGGGCCCGCACTACTCGAAGGTGCCGACGCACTCGGGGATGCAACTACCACTGCTTGGGGCACCTGACCCTTCCCAGAACCTTGCCCCCCTTGTGCCAGATTGCGCTGCTTGCGTTGCGCCTTTGAGAGGTGCGGAGGTACCGGCTCCTCTTCTTCCCAACCTTCCTGGGTAGCCTCCTCTACCACGACCTCCTTGGCCTTTCCTTGAATTGCCGTTGTCACCTTCCTTTGTATTACCGAGTCTAACTCTGTTAGTACGTCGGTGATAATCTTTTTCACTCCTGGTGTCCCAGACGCTGTAGCATCCCTTTCTTTCCTTTTCTGCCTTTGTAGACGCACCTGGTGCTGCTCCACCTGGTCTAGGCTTCCTTCTTCCACACCCAGGTGAGTTTCGAGTTTCGAGTTTCCTCCCCCATGGATTGTTAGCTCAGAGGCCTTTGACGCGGTGAGCAGCCCCAGGAAGATGGCGCACTGCGCCTCCTCTGATATCCCATGTACTTTTCTCGCCCTTTTCTTGAACTCCTGCAAGAATGTTACAATGGTGGTGAAATCATCTTTGTTCATGGCCTCTAAATCCATCGTGGTCAGCAGCCCGTCGCCCAGCCTGTGTTTCCTTTGCATCCCTTCCCTGAACCTGGCCCAATTGCCATTGGTGTCGTCGACCACCTTCTGCACCTCCTGATGGTGCCCATGAAGTACATACTTCATGATCCGTTGGAACTTTACCGTATCCGTCAATCCCACCAGTGCTTGGTCAACCAAGTCCAGCCAGTCGGACACTCGTTCTCCTTTGAAGTGGAAGGTGTCAAGTTTGGGGACATTACTTGGCGTTCTCTCCCGCTTGTCCATCGCCTCGATGAGATCGTCGAGGGTCAGGACTTTTCCTGAACTGTCGCCTATGCCTCCCGACATTTTGGCAGTCTGCTCTTCTCTTAACTTTCCTGTTACAAAAAGAGGTAAGAACCAAACTTCACTCAGCATCTAACCCATCGCTATCCCATCGAACTGACCACTTATCCCCTAGACACTTTAGACTTTGCCGACACTGCCATTCTCTTCATTCCCAGACTTACTCCCATAAACTCTATCCCCACTATGAGTCGTCTCACATAATCATCTCAGTTCCTCACATATTCATACAAACCCCATACATCCTTACCCATAGGCATACTCTGCTTATCTCATTCGTGCCTGAATTTTCCTTACTTTAATACCCGGATGTCATTCCACCAGGGACAACGGCAGGCAATCCGTTATCCCCAGCAACGGCGCCACCTGTCGAGCGCATCGGTCCGACACTACTCAAGGGTAGTGCGGGACCCTCCCGACTGCGTCACGCAGGAGTTGGATATTAATCCTCGTCGTGATACATACATGGAGCTTCCGCAAGCCGCTCCGGCCGAGTGCGCCAGCCATACCTCTCGCGAGCCCCTATGACAGGATAGTGTCTACGCGAGGCACGACTTACCTCCACCTTACGGGAGCTGTCACCTCCCTTCGGTGGGCGTATCCCCGCCGAGCTACCAGTCCACAATACGAAAGTTAATGAGTTGCAATCGCAGAGGTGGACCAGCTGAGGCGTTTCTCGTTCGCTGTAGCATAGGGGGTACGCGCGGTACTACGCCTCTATCGGACCCGCACGCGAACCGACATCTTGGGGGGCTGAGGTCCCAAGCGCGACTCGTCGCCGGTCGACTAGGACGCATCCCATACACCACGCGCACACCGCTATAATATAAAAATAAGACACCCACACGACACACACACGAAACAACACAACATAACCAATGCGACAACGCTCTTAGTCCCTCGGTAGCCTTCCCATAATTTTCCAATGCGGAATTGGATAAGCGTCGCGCGCAAGACTTATTATAAAACCGTGCGGATGCAAGGCTTGTTGATATCGACCCGCAATGCAAGCATACGCACGCGGTTGCAGTGATGGGGTACTATGCAGTACCCATACTCATGCGGCCCTCGTCAATCTCGGGGGTCGCATTTGACACTCAAGTGTCGGCTGACACGCGCCCAGAGGGTTAATCTCTCGACGTTGGACAACCGCCCTGCGCGGTTGAAGACCACACACCCTCTTCTGCACCCTATGCAGAGTGGGTGGTACACAGGTCCATACCTGTGGTGGTGGTCGTTTCTTACGGCCTTGGAGATGAGCCCCACTCCAGGCCTGGACAGAAGTGAAGGGGTTTGACTTTGACGGCTGCCACGGACTATAACGTCCATCCATGATAAGTCTTAAAAAGCAAAGTATAAGCCGAAGGCCTCCCGGCCCTGAAATCACAAACTTGGGTACCCCCGCTTTCCTTGCGGTTGGCACCACGGCCTACGTCGACGTTGAACACTCGGGCACATGTTCGAGTCTCTCGATCCCATAACTCCAGACAATAGGCCAGCGAAACATCGCGCGCAAGACTTTGATATAAAGCTGCGCGGTTGCAGGCCTGTCTTATACCAACCAGCGATGCTAACTGTACGCGGTAATCACAGTCTCGGCCTCGCGATATTGAATGGCCGAAGGAATATATCGCGAGGGGTTACCCCTCACGATATTGAACGGCTGAAGGACATGCCGTTCAGCCCCCGCAGCATCTCTGCCCTCTGGGTTGGGTGTCCCGGCGGGCAGTGCAGATAGGCTCTGCGCGAGGGAAGGCTCCTTCACTACAGAGCCTGGGGCTTGGGGTGTCCTGGACAAGGACCTTGACTCCCGGCCCAGGACCAACGTCCGACCAAGAAATCAGAAAAAGTATACAATCGAGAGGGAGGGGTTTTCTGCCTACCTCTCCCCTATTAACCCTTAATACGCTGGCCCCTTGGGCCATATGAACCTCCAACATAGGTATACACACATATATATATATACAAGGGGATAAGTATGTGACGATCACTTATCACAATCACAGTGGGGCTCCTCACAACCATATGTATAGGAGTGGTCGCAGGCAGTCAAATCCAAGATCCGAACCACAGAACATACCTGCAATCACATCAAAAGTCAGCAAAGTCCATGCACTACAAGGAGTCAACCCCAACCACTCTCTGTACTCACACCCCTTGCTTTAGCCATGCAAGCCCCAACCTCCAGCCAACCAACCATAATTAAATACTCAGTACCTTTGTTAAATGGCCATTCAAGAAAAGTCCGGGTGAAACCTTAACAAAACAATAAAGATCACCAGGGCTAAAGCGTTTTTAGGTTGAGTAGGGAGGAGTTGGAATTGAGTCGTAAACCGACGAATCGGCAACCGACCTGTTATCAGTGAAAATAGAATGTGATCTTGGTAGGATCAAGTTGAACCTAGCCCAAGTCCTGAATCGATCGATCAAGGAGAAATGTAACACAAGACAGGCCAATCTCAAGCTAAGTCTACAAGTGATATGGAGAACGATCTCCATATCACGACCTTACTCAAGTCACCCTTACTTAACTAAGCCTGAGTCTGTCTCTATCCAGTACCTGAGTAAAAGTAGACCTTGGCATAGTTCCCTACATACGTCGCCACCTGTCGAAACATAATCTAACTCCTCTAAATTAGGGAAATTTCGGCAGCGCTTCCCGTAGAAAAAGTGTCATCGCAGAATTTATACTAGCCCAAAAGTCAAACCTCTGGATTCTAGTAAGTCAAAATTTGTCTAACTTCCTGAATTAGTAAAAATTTGGGCAGCTTTTCCTTTAGAAAGGGCGACTATCCAGATTCATACCAAATCAGATATGAACTCAAACATAAAGTTTGAGTTCTGTTAAGACAAAATTTTAACCAACTCCTTAGATTTGTAGAAATTTCGGTAGCACTTCCCGTAGAGAAAGTGTTATTCCAAGATTTATACAAAGCCAAGTTCAAAATATAAAGCGACTTTGACTTTTCAAGGTCTAATTTTGTCTAACTCCCTGAATTAGCAAAAATTTGGGCAGCACTTCCTTTAGAAAAGGTGGGGTTTCAAATCTTTGCTAGGCCAAAAGGTCAGAAAAACTAGGCCCTGAACAAGACAAAATCTGACTAACTTCTTGGTTTTGCAAAAATTTCGGCAGCGCTTCCCGTAGGGAAAGTGACTTACCAAGATTTATACAAGACCAAAGTATAATAAAAGATCCCAAAAAATGCAGAAATTGATCTATGTAAAAAAACTTAGCTCAGAAATTGCAGGAATTGAAACTAACTCCTATGGCTCTAGCACGTGGCGAGCAACTAAAGCAACTACCTATCAACCACAAACGTAAGTACTCTCACCATCCCCAAAGTTGACTTAGCAAACAATAGTTCATAGCCTCTCAATGATTTATCCCCTTATACCCAACTTACATAGGGCATAAGGCTAGACCACCCAAACTTATGGAACATGTCTAGCCCAACCATGAAGTATACACAAACATAGGGCACAACAACTTTTCTCTTCCTTGGGCATATGACTAGGCCACCCTAGCCGCCCTAAATTGTTTAAGTATCCAATATTTATATAATTGTCTGCGCTTAGTCTTTTGACGTAGCATATAACGGAGTCAATCATCTTCAGCTCAAGACTCAGCCTGCCCCTTCGTACCACAAGTTTATTCTTAGTTAATATTCTCTTCAGTTGGTGATAGGTTATAGTCAGACCACCCAAACTTATGGAACCCTGTCCGACTAGCCTGTTCATAGATAATATAATAATAGTATAGCAAAGTTATAGCCTTCTGGTTCCAGCAT